TTGTACTTAAGTCATCTGTGAGGTGATCTTTGGTGCCTCTCCTAATACTTTTAGGCATACAATAATTATAATTAAATATAAATAAAACTGTTAAGAGTGATGTGGGGCTCCGTAAAGAAACCATAACTATAAAAATATATTCATGAATCATTTCAAAAAATTTTTGAAAAATGAAAAATCAGGTATCTGTATTGGGCCCTATTAAAAAGGGGAAAAAAAAAAAAGAGTGGCAAGGAAGCAAAGCAATATGACCACAAAGGAACTCTCTCTGTTGACATTTATTTACATTTTGTTCTCTCTCACTCCCTAGTGCAGCCTGTAGTCTAGCAGGAGATCTATGACATGAAAGCACTTAATTACCTTCAGTAAATCAGCTATGGTTTAAATGAAAATTCCAGCATTAAAGAGGCAAAGTAGTAAAGAAAGAGTAGGTGATGGGGTTTTGGCAGGGCTGAAAGGATAGTACCACAAAAAAGAGAAGTTATTTAAGGGAAGTGGTTGACAATGCTGTTTTCAGTCCAGAATAAGCCAAAGGTAAAACTCTGAGAGGGAGCAGGAGAACACTTTATCTGTCGCTCTTGGGTCAGGCCCTGCTGATGCAAACACACTGCTATGTAATCTTTCTGTTTATCTTCAGCTGGACTTACTGACCCTCACACAGCAGCTCAGTCACACCTAACACAGTGCTGATACCTGCACTAAAATCCTTGACATCTGGGACTCTCGTCTTTTCTAGGAACCCATGAGCCCCATGAGGACAGACCCTCCTAACACCCAGCACAGTAACAGGAGCAGAGAAGGTGCTTGAGAAATGTTTAAAGCATGGAACAATAAAGGAGAGTTACATTCACAAGTCAAAGGACTTTTGATTTCACCTTGCCGGTAAGAGGTAGAGCGGACGTTCAAATCAAGGCATCCTGCCTCTAGAGCCCATGTTTCTAACCACTACTCAGGGAGCCCTTTTCATGGCATATGATCTCAGTGTGCAAGGGCTCATTATAGACAATAAAGTTCTTAGCCTTTAGCCAAACATTGAAAGCCTTCGCTAGATTGGTCCTAACCTGCTACTTCAACCTTATTTCCCGATATTTGCTACTTCTCACGTGGACACTTCACTCCAATGTTCCCTGTTATGTGAAAATTCCCCTCCTGAGTAATCACTTCACTTCTCTACTCTCTTCCTACTTCCAAATCTCAATTAGCACAGTTTTAAAGACTTACTGAGAGGCGAACTACTCCATAAACACTTTTCCATTCTTCTATCTTGATTTTTCTATCTCCTTTTTCTGAATTTTCAAAGGACACTTGGTGGACATTGCTTAAGTCACTTGTCACTTTCTGTCTTGTGGTGATAATATAACATCATAACCCTGTAAACATACCCTGTTAGACTATAAGAACCTCAAAGGTAAGAGCCCCATCTGCCCCCACCACCATCTAGCAGAGCAGCCTGCGTATTATCATAGGCAAATTTTAGTTGGTTGTTTTCTACATAACGTAAATTTTCTTTAAATAATCCTGGCCTCAACTTATATTTTGTTAATTCTGTGTACTTAGAAGGGAATGTTCATCTCCTATTTCCCATCTGTCCAAAGCTAATCTCCACCATAAACACTCTTCTAAATAAATATATAGGCTGGCTAGCTTTCCCCATCTTTTATAGTGTGGTGTTTAAATGTACAAATCTGGATTCTAATTCAGTTCTGCAATATATTAGCTGTTGACATTAGGCAAATTCATATTTTTGTGCCTTAATTTCAAAATCTGAAAATGACAATAGTATCTACTTCACAGGGTTATGTTTTCCAGTAAGATTTGAAATGAGTTAATTCCTATAACATAAATAAAATATAGTGCTGCCATATCATAAGCACTCCAATGTTAGTCATTTTTTCCAGATACTCAAATGGTTAGTAATCCCCACTGGCAATGATTATTTACCAATTGGTGACATATGTTCCATTGTTGCTAGGAACTTAAATTTAAATCAAGTGTTATTAATGGATTTTTAATGAGCATATCTTATTATCTTAAATAAACTACAAGCCCCAAGAGCATGAGAGATCTTTGAATGCTGAGCATGTTCTACATGCCAAGAACTTGGCTAAGTGCTTTCTATAAATATTTCATTCATTTCTCACAACAACAGTATAAGCTGGTTATTATTCCCATATTACAGATAAAACAAAACAAAAATGAAGGTTTGGAGGGAATAATATTTGTTCAAGTTTTCTAAGCTACTAAGTAGTAGAGCTTGGACAGTTCTTGAAGGCAAAAATAATAACATATCTGTTTCTCAGTGTTCAATATATATTCACTCATGCAATCACCATCTAGGTTTAGTTTTCTTTGTGGTTATATATTTGATTGCTATGATATTTGAAGCACATACACTTGGTAAGTCAGCTTTTCCTTTTTAATAGGGCCTAATACAGAGACCTGATGTTTCACTTTTCAAAAATTTATCTTAGGCTCCATGATAAATCCTCCTCACATGGCAACGACAAGAGCATAATATACTTTTAGCGTATTTTGATATAACTAGAGACTTCTGTGGATTTTTTATGTTTTGTTTTGTTTTACTGTTCTCCATGCATTGCTGTTAATCTCCATCAATTTGTCTTTAGCTTTATTGTTATATGTCTTTGGATTATGATATTTATATATTGAACTTATTACTGTTGAAAGGAATGCTAGAGACACATTTGCCCCAACCATTGATATACTGAGGTGGGAAACGGGGCTCAGGCAGACAGGTCAAATGCCAGTATTGCTTGGCCAGCAAGGGACAGAGAAGAGACCACAGATTTTTTTTTTTTTTTTTTTTTTTCTGAGATGGAGTCTTGCTCTGTCACTCAGGCAGGAGTACACAATTTCAGCTCACTACAACCTCTGCCTCCCAGGTTTAAGCAATTCTACTGCCTCAGCCACCCGACTAACTAGGACCACAGGTACCCACTACCACACCCGGCTAGTTTTTGTCTTCTTGGTAGAGACAGGGTTTCGCCATGTAGGCCAGGCTGCTCTTGAACTCCTGACATGAGATGATCCACCCACCTTGGCCTCCCGAAGTGCTGGGATTACAGGAGTAAGCTACCATGTCCAGCCACAACCAGATGTTTTATTCCCACTCTGTGCTCTTTTAACTAAGCTACACTCCCACCCGAATACAAATAAATGACAGGTTTTTCATATCTGAATACCTCCCACTCCACCTACTGTGTGATTTTGGACTGGTGTGGTCAGTTTACCTGTCATTACGTATCCTACATATATAGGAGCAAAAAAGACATGAAAATAGAAAATATTTGAAGAAGCAAAAATCCTGTGCAATTTTCCCACCTCTGTGCCTTTACCAATACTGTTCTCCAAATGTCCTTTCTCTATACGTCCCTAAAGCCATGCTACTCAGAAAGGTGGCCCATGGATGCGTGTCTAAGAAATGCTTATCACTTTGGATGAGACAAGTTCTGGAAACAAAGAATAAGTATTTAGAAGCTAGTATAACAATTTAAAAGAGTAATCAGTTAATGGTTGATTCTAATAATGATAAAATTTCATCTTCCGTTTTATTTCACCTCTTTTATTTCCCTAGTAATTAATTTTAACTGACTCTACAAAAGTACTGCTCTCCAAGAGACTGGAAGGAAAATAGTCTTTCACCACAGACAATGTGAAAGTTACTGGTTTAAAGGGCTCAGATTTGAGTACCACCAATTCTTTCACAAAGTATTCCTGATGGTCCTAATAAACAGAGCTTTTAAAACTTAACAGCCGGGTGCCGTGGCTCACGCCTGTAATCCCAGCACTTTGGGAGGCTGAGGCAGGTGGATCACCTGAGGTCAGTGGTTGGAGACCAGGCTGGCCGACATGGTGAAACCCTGTCTCTACTAAAAATACAAAAATTAGCTGAGCGTGATGACAGGTGCCTGTAATCCCAGCCACTTGGAAGGCTGAGGCAGGAGAATCGCTTAAACCCGGTGTCAGAGGTTTCAGTGAGCCGAGATCATGCCAGAGCACTCCAGACCAGGTAACAGAGCAAGACTCTGTCTCAAAAAATTAAAAAATTGAAAAAATTAAATAAAACTTATAACAATTAACCTAAGCCTTCTCATAATTTTTATCACTTTCTTCCTAGACTAGTAATTATTTGTATGCTTGTCTTATCTCTTTCTGAACAATTTTAACCTCACTGAGGATAGGTTATGTGTCCTCAGACCTCACAATTGGCATACAATCCATAAATCTGCATTCTATTCATGGACTGGAAGGATTAACCATTCAAAGTTATTCACAAATTTGAAGAGGGGAAAATTAAAAATACAAAGAAAACATCATTTCTTGAACTCAGATAGAAAAAAAGATTCCAGAGTACAATCTGGAAATTAGATATTAGACAATAACCAATTCCACATTTTTTACATGAATCTTTAGACCAGTGAGAAATGGGAACATACACAGAAATCCTATTTCTGCCTAATGGGAAGCTAATAAGTTGTCAAAAAATAAGTCTTCTTTTTTTATTATTATTTTTTTGAGACAGGGTCTCACTCTGTTGTCCAGGCTGGAGTGCAGCGGCACAATCATAGCTCACTGCAGCCTTGACCTCCCAGGCTCAGGTGATTGTCTGGCCTCAGCCTTCTGAGTAGCTGGCACCACAGGCACACGCCACCACACTCAGCTAATTTTTGTATTTTTAGTGGAGACAGCGTTTCGCTATGTTGCCTAGGCTAGTAAAAAATAAGTCTTAAAAAATAAAATATGTATCTAAAGAAACTCTAAGGACCACTGAAATTTTAGTACAACCTAAGTAGACATCACATTTATGGCAGTCTTGCAATGCAAATCCCACAATTACTTAGTTGTGTGGGCATGTATGTCAACTCCCATGCATCTGTACTCAAATACTTTACCAGTGGAGTTGGCAATACTTCCAATTACTAAGCAAAAAAATCAGAACAAGATATTTACTTTGGAATTCAGCTCTAGACCCCACTCACCAAAGTATTCATCAGCAGGTGGATTTTCCATGTCATACAGCATCTTTTTGGTCAGGTGCTCAAGCTCATCCTCTGGGCGGAATGAAGGTGCAATAGACGAAGGCCCCAGTGGCCCTGTATGTCCACCCTGAAAGACAGAAAGCACATAGTCCTTTAACTGCAACCGAGACCATCAGCCAAGGCAGTCAGCCTACACAAGCAGTGATTGCCCTGGAGAGGAAAAAGCACTTGGACGTGGCTGGCAGACAGGAGGCCTGAGTTTGAGGATTAGTTTTATCACATATTCAGTGGCTAACCTTGGACACATCTCTATTCACTTGGCTCATCTAGGTGAGTCATCTGTCAGGCTTTAGAAATCCATGTTTACAATAGGAAGAATCTATTTTGTTCAACAATTACTAAGTGATCACTATGTGCTGTTATACATTGATAAGAAAAGTAAATTGAGTCTTTCTTTCATAGGAACCTTACAGTCAAGTGAGAGATACAGGCTCATTAATAATTAAAGAAAAACAGCTGCAGAAAGAGCACAATCAGGGCATAAGGTGGGACCTTTTGCATAGCACAAGATGGACTTCCTGAAGGGACACAGCAGAGCAGGCTGGGCCTTATTCAGCTAAAAGGGAGAAAACACACAGGTAGAAGTTTCTCACACTCAGGTGAAAAAAGTCAAGTAGCATAAAGAGCTTCTGGAGGTTGAGTATTTCTGGACCACATATAAACTTTGAGATAGGAAATGAGATAAATCTTATCGGGTACAGGAGTCCAGAAAGTGAACCTTTTGGTGCTAGTTCTTTTGTTCTAGTTAAGGAAGTTGAGTAATTTCATTTTTCCAGCACTGCAAACAGCCAGATTTCAAATAGTGATGATAAGTCAGTAGCATTGACACTGGGTTGGTGTTGAAATAGGGGGGTGAGAACTAAGCTATGAGGATGCAAAGACATATAAAGCGATATGGTGAACTTTGGGGCCTGGGTACAGCCATGTTGACCAGGGGGTGAGGGATGAAACTGGGGACAGTATCAACTACTTGGGTGATGGGTTCACTAAAATCTCAGAATTTACCACTATAAAATCCATCCTTGTAAGCAAAACCCATATGTACCCCCCAAAATATTGAAATAAAAGAATAATAATTAAAAAATGAATAGGTGGGTGAGTCAGAGGTATAGCAATGTAAGAGAATCAAATATCAATTGAAACAATACTTGAGATAATCAATGAAGAATAAAAAGCATGTAAAAAAAGAAAAAAGGCCAGATACTAGATTTAAAGTAGCTTTGTGCTATGTGATTAAAAGGGAATTTATTACATTTTCCTTTGCCTATACATTTGACCATTTCTAGTATCTCAACCCAACATTCTTAATAAAAGTATTATAAAAACAGAAATGTTATTACTAAAATTTAGAACTGATAATCACGTCCACCATGGGTAACAGACAGGGGTGTGGGTTGGGAATGCTCTTGCCTTTATGCATTCTTACAATAGATGGCCAAGAGGTTCTCAGAATGTTTACAAGAATAACTTCAACAAAACTGAAAGCTGCATATTCATTCTCCTATTATCTTCACTCTACCAAAGGAGTTCTTAGATGTGAAAATCCTGTAAAGTACAAATCCCTGAACACATGTTATCACTCCCAACATTTACTTCAACAACGCCAAGATGGGTATTAATCATTTCTGTGACATCTAAAGCATTAGATGTCTTTTAAACACAGTCAAGAAAGTTGATCGATACCTATTTGGCCTTTCCTCTAAAACAATTTTCTTTTTCTTTTCTGGTTTCCCAAAATGTAGATATTTGAAGTACTGACAGACAGAGGGCTCAAAAGGTGAAAAAAAAATTTTATGTTAGTCACTAACTTCAGCCTGAGATTTTACTGCATTGTTGAAACATTTGGATTAGAGATTAGAAAGTGATGAGTAAACTATGGCATTTGCTCAGGTTACAGACAAAAAATTGAGTTGCTTGCCTGGATCTGAAGAACCATTATGCTAATCTCCTCTTTGTGATTCAGGGAAACTGAGACCCTAACGCCCCCACCCCCAAACCCCGGACCAAAGATCAGGGAGGGCTAGCTATGGTAAAGTCAGACAAGGGCCCATCCTTGACTGATTTACTTATTAGCAAACATTGAAGATTAAATTTAGGGCCTCTTCTGAACTGTAAACCTTACCTGTCTTACGAGTTTGGTATGAGGGTTAGAGGAGCTACTGAACTACTTATTCTTTTGTCTATTGTTTTGTTCACTCATTCTTACAGGGTCTGTTTTGTGTACCTTCTGTAAGAACCCAGGAGGGACATAAAGATATATTAGACGCAACCTTTGTTTTTGAGAATATTGCAGCCTAGTGGGGTTAAGAAACATGCACAAATGATTAATTATAAAAAGCACAGTTCAGGCGCAGTGCCTCACATTTGTAATCGCAGCACTTTGGGAGGCCAAGGCTGGTGGGTCACTTGGGGCCAGAAGTTTGAGACCAGCCTGGCCAAAACTGTGAAACTCCTCTCTACTGAAAATATAAAAATTAGCCGGGTGTGATGGTGCACAGCTGTAATCCCAGCAACTCAGGAGGCTGAGGCATGAAAATTGCTTGAAGCTGGGAACTGGATTTTGAGCCAAGATCGCGCCATTGCATTGCAGCCTGGGTGACAGAGAGAGACTATCTCCAAAAAATATATCTCTAATATCTATATATTGATATATAGATTTAGCATAGTATGTTGATATGTGTCTGCATAAACATGAACATTGGATGAATGCTTGCCAATATTGTTAAACTTTAAATCGCATATATGCTGCTTATACATTTTTTTAAAACATGATGGCTTCAAGTGATTAAGATGTAGCGGATACGACTCACTATCCTGGAGCAGCCTTCTAACCCAGGCCAAGTGAAGGACTCTGAGAGAAGCAAAATTTCAAAGTTGAGAAGTAGTTTGGTATAAGGGGTAAAAACTGCCAGTGGTTCAGTATTTTGGGCTGGAGAGGTGGAAAAATAGGAAGAGTCAGTCTTGCTTCCATGCCATGCTGACATGTTTAGGGCTTTTCAGTGAGCCAGGGGCTCCAGGCCCTGGGTGAGAACATGGACAACTCTCAAAATCTAATGGGTTAAACTGTCTTTTGATAAAAAACAAAAAAACCTGTAATAATGTACACAAAATTTACTTACAATTTCAAGAAGCTCACAGACCCCAGGGAATATATCTGCATATTCTCATTTAGGAACATCCAGGCATTAGAAAACATGATAGATATTTTTAGAAGAAGAATATTCTAATTAGATTTGGCAAGTTTTCTCTAGAGTAGAAGGTGAATGGGAGAGCAGTGAGACTGAAATGAGATGGTGACTTTATCGTAACATATTGGTGGTCAGAGATAAAGGGGTACGTTATATGACAGTTTCATTATGGATAGAGATAGAGATTTGATTATGATCTTCACCTGGCATCGTTAGGTAACCTTGTTAACCTTTTATAACTTCAGGTTCTCTACTGTCAATGGACTTGCCAGTGGTACCTCACAGTCTCTGTAAGAATTAAAGTGAGATAACCCACATTTCATGATAAATAGAGTTTAACTAGTTCCAGACAATTGTAACAAAGAGGATGTCTTTGAATCTCCCAACCTGCCTCTGAGGGAGGGGATTATTACGGTTCAGGTAACAGAATTGATAATGGGGATGGGAAAGTGACCTACACCTTTTCTTCAGGCTTACAATACAGGGAGATCTTGAGCCCAAAATATGGGGTCACCTGTCTCCTAGTGCCATGCATTTCTTCCCCAACCAAACAATGCTTTCCATAAAGTGCTAGAAAAGTATAAAATGTTACCTCTAATAATAATGGTGCTAGTTGTTTTAATTAAGCCAAACAACTATTAAAGAAAACCTAATAATTCCTGCCTTCAGTCTTATGATGGACCCTCCGAGAACAGACACAATTTATCATTGCCTCAGCCTAATATCGTTTCCCTTTCAATATAAACAAGGAAGCAAGAAAGCCAATTCTGTCCTTTATAAACCTAAGCCAGAATTTAGATTCTACCCTTTGCACTTACATTTCAAGTATAAATCTCATTTCAAAGTACTTACCTTGTCAATATTTCACATATTTTGAGAAAAATGTATCATTCTTTTTGTTCTCTGAATGCTCTATTTGATGCTTTACTGTTTCTGAGATAACACTTGGAAAGGCTATTTTCTGTTAGATAACACTCTTTTATCTAATGCTAATTATGGATTCCTGTTATTTCTTATGATGAACGATTCTGAGAGATCATTTCTTCCAGTATTTCTGAAGTTTATTTGGCTAGAGAATACCCTCCACCCCCACTCCACTGCTGTCACTAACCCAGTGCATAATATTTAACACCTGTGGAATACATAATGGGGAAAACATAGGGTTCCTCAGTTAAGACTTGTCTCTCACACCAAAGAAGACAACTTAGGACTTTCAGTGTCCAAGCCTAGAAGTAGTAGCCTAGTGCTATGCTCACTAACCTCATCAGAGACCTACTCTAATATCTCTTTCTCAGTAGTGTTTAGGGCTCAATACCTCCTGAGAAAAATCAACAACTGTATCCAACTTATTTGCTAATAAGCAATTTCTAGCATATTGTATGGGTAATAAAACACGATTGAGTATTTGTGATGGGAGGTGCCGAAAGGGAATGATTTGTGTTATTTTGTTTTGCATTTCTTCAAAAGTAGAAGTTTGAATTGTACCAGCAACATATTCACTGTTGTATATTCTTCATATTTGCATGACCCTTTTCAAGATGCCTACTTTTACAGATATTAAATCTCAAATGTCTATACAACAGCCCTGTATGACGTGTAATCCTATTTCTAGATGAGAAAATGGAGACTTAAGAAGAGAAGTGAGCAACCTTGTAGACGTACCACTGCTTAAAAATGGCAGAACATTGAAACTGGGGTGTGCTGAGTTGGGCATACTTCTACACTGCAATGTCTCTCAGGGTTCCAATATCATTATCTCTAAGCCTTTCTAGCTCTCTTACTCTGTAGCAGTTTGGATTTTAACCTGAGTCTATTACCTAAGCAAAGATTTCTTTTTTCAGAGTGAAGGTTTGCTGCTAACTAGCAAAACAAAGACATT